CGACAGTGCTAACCACTGAGCCACCATGGTGCCCTTATATCAAAATAATCTTTTTCTTTTCAGCTTAGTTACTTTATTAATCAAAGGACGCCACAGCGGAATGAACCGACAACTTATCCAGCATATGTTTTATGCAGCAGATGCCCTTCCAGCTGCAACCCGGTACTGGGAAACATTCACACACACACACTCACTCACACACATACACGACGGGCTATTTTAGCTTACTCAATTCACCTATACCACATGTTTTTGGACTGTGGGGGAAACCCACACCAACACAGGGAGAACATGCAAACTCCACACAGAAATGCCCAACTAGGACCCAAACCAGCAACCTTATTGCTAATCACAGAGCCCCCGTGGCACCCTTATATCAAAATAATTCATTCATTTTCTTGTCGGCTTAGTCCCTTTATTAATCTGGGGTCGCCACAGCGGAATGAACCGCCAACTTATCCAGCAAGTTTTTTACGCAGCGGATGCCCTTCCAGCTGCAACCCATCTCTGGGAAAATATCAAAATAATATCTGGAATAAATGTGCTTTGCTTACCTCACCGACAGATTATTTAGCATGTTTTAAGCAAAAACTTGCTTATATAATTGACCATTTTTTTAAAAAGCTGTCTATAGAATGCACATTGATTTAGGAATGTTTAGATATTTGGACTAGAAACAAGACGAAAACTCATTGTCAAGCATTTTTGCAGTGAATAGTTTGGGCAGTACAAGCAGATTTTGCCTGCTGAGCAGTTTACTGTCATATGTTTGAAATCTCCAGTAGGTTTTTCTCCACCATCTCATGGTTGAGCTTGAGAGTCTCGGTGCCTTGCCTCTTCTTTTTCGTCTTTCTTTTCTTGCAGCAAATGTACGTCACCAACGACACGACAGTCAAAAACAGTCCCATGCAAGTCGCCGTCAATGCAAGCAGTATGACTTTATACTCGTTGCACATATTTGGCACTCGTTCTCCCTCTCTCCCTTCCTTAACCGGAGGAGCTTCACCGTGATCCAGATCCACAACTCTCGGCAACAAACTCTGAATGAGCGTCTCATTGCTGACCGTTTCATTCACAAACAGGTTAACCAGCACGGTGGAGTAGAGCTCAGGTTGACCGTGATCTCGAACTTTAACCCATAAACTATAAAGCCCCCGACTGTTCAAGGCTTTCCTCAGGGTGATGTTTCCAGTGTACGGATCGATGTCAAACGACCCTGGTTCTCCGTCAGTTCTCTTAATAATGCTGTAAGCAATAACAGCATTCATTCCCGTGTCCCGATCCACAGCGTACACTTCAGTTATAGATGTTCCCGGAACTGTGCTAGGAAGCACCAGCATGAAGGACTGGTTGGATTGCGGAAAGAGAACTGTTGGAGGATTATCATTGACGTCCAGGAGGAGAACGGTCACCATTGTGACACAAGAAAGCGCAGGCTCTCCTCCATCAATAGCTTCGATCCATACGTAATACGTCCCCTGTTGCTCTCGATCCAATGGTGTTTTGGCTCTTAGAGCTCCTCGTCCGGTGTCAATAACAAAGATGTCACTTCCGTTGAGGATTGATAGAGCGACCCAGCCGTTTTCTCCGGCGTCAGCATCTGTGACTGTAAGCACGCCGATTTCGCCAAATCCTGGAAAGTTCTCTGGTACAAAGAAAGTGAAGTCTTTGTTGATGAATCGCGGGCTGTTGTCATTGCGATCTTGGACGGTGATGATCACCGTCGCGATTGACTCCTTTTTTGGCGTTCCCCTGTCTAAAGCTCGAACCATGAAGCGGTAGGTCTCCTTTTCCTCTCGGTCGAGAGATGTTGATACTGTTAGCACTCCGGTGTAGCTATCGATGTTAAAAATGGTGGGAGCGTCCGCTCCAAGTTGATAATACACCTGCCCTCTGCTTTCACTATCCGCATCGCTCGCCTGAAGCTGAGCCAGGAACGTATTCGGTGGGTTATTTTCCTCAACGGCGATTTCAACGAAGGACTGCTTGAAAACCGGAGCGTTGTCGTTGACATCCAACACATGGACTTTCACCACAGTGTTAACTGCTAATCCGTGGGAATTACGCACCACAATGACTATTTCATAATCCTGTTGCAGCTCATAATCCAGGACATCAGTGGTTTCCAGCAAGTACTCGTTTTTTAAACCCTGATAAGGCACAATCCTAAAAGGACCTGCACTTTCCAGAAAACACTCCAGCTTCTGTTGGGCCTCGGTGTTTTTGATGGTAAAAAAAGCAATGGGGGAAAACGGAGGCTCAGATTCGCTTAAGCTCACGACGCCATCTTTCTCAAACGCAATGTAACGCGGTACAACCGTCGGAGGACCAGAGAGTTGTTTGATGACATGCACGCTAACCATAGCAACGTCAGGAATACACCCCGCCCCATTGGCTAGTATGTTTATCTTGTATAGCTTCGCACTGTTGTTGTTGATCTTTCCTGCTAGTTTCAGAACTCCAGTCGTTGTATCCAAGTGAAATAAGCTTTTGCTTTCCTGGCTGACCCGTTCACTGAACGTATACGTAATCAAGGCGTTCGCTCCCTCATCTGGATCATAAGCTTGTAGACGAGCCAGTTGCATGCCTTTAGTGGCATTTCCATACAGAGTCACTTTCACTTGAGACTCTCTAAACTTGGGGCAGTTGTCATTAACGTCGCTAATGATAATCCTCAAAGTTGCATTGCCAAAACGAGGCGGAGACCCTCCATCCTCTGCTATAATTTCAGTCACATACTCAGCCCGCGCCTCTCTATCAAGAGACTCGGTTAGGATGAGAAACGGCGTCAATTCTCCTCCTTCGTTCTCCTCTACGTCCAGCGTGAAAACTCCATAGTCATTATTAAGCCAGTAGGTCTGAACGCTGTGAATCCCGATGTCTGGATCCACTGCGGACTGCTCCACCGCAAACCGTGCATTAACAGGTGCGTTTTCTGGCACAGACAGCCGGATTTCATCCATGGGGAAATGCGGACTGTTGTCGTTGATGTCCTCTATGATGATTTTAATCTTAACCAGCTGAAAGTACTGCTGGGGAAGGATTAGCACGTCCAGGAAGATTGCACAGCCCTGTCCCTCGTGGGATTCAGCACATAGAGACTCTCTGTCAATCTCTATCGCAGATGTGAACAGCTCCCCGGTGGTGCTATTCAGATTCACGTAGTGCTCGCTGGTAGTCATTTGCTCCAGGCTGAATGAGCGAGAAGGATTGACGGAAAGATCCAGGGTTAAGTCCGCACTGATAGCCCCTATAAGTGTTCCTTTTGGTAATCCTTCCTTTATCTTATAGATGAGGTGACTGAAATTTGAAGAGCAGGAGAAGGGAATGCTGTACAAGAGGAGAATGAACAAACCCTGAAACAAATAACAGAGAAAAACTGTTTAATAGGAAGCCCCAAAACTGCTGGTAAGCCTACAAAAATAGTCATATTTGCATACAGTATTAATTATGCATCAAGCACATCAATAGCAGTTGGAATTGACGTGCATGAGCTGGAATCCATATTTGCATGACTAAATATTTACCCAGAGAGTCTTTAAAATGGTGTAAAATTGTTCTGGAATTTTGTATTTCATGCATTTTTATTTTTTATTTAGCTAATAGGTTATTATTAGGCAAGGCAAGTTATAAGTTATTAGTATTTTTTATTAATATTTAAGCTAAAATCTTGATTAAAAATGTCAAACAAATCTAGAATATTTTCAGTTTCATGTATTTGTAAATGTGTGCTGCCACAGTTTTCTTTTTAGCTTAAATCTTGATTATAAGTGTAAAATTGTTCTTATATATATTAAATTCATGTATTTTTAAAAGAAATTTATGATACCATAGTCTTAGCAAATTTTTTTTTTATCTGAAATCTTAATTATGAGAATATGATATTTTAGTTTTATGTATTGTATTGTGTGGGGGGGGGGGGAACACAATTTTAGCTATAGTAACAAATATATTTTAGCTAAACCCTTGAATATAAATGTGCATATGTAAATATTGCAGTAAACCTAATAATATAACACATTTATACATGTATTTACATATAACATACTTAAATAAAAGCTTGTTAATGATAAAAAAAACATAATATAAATACCTAATATTAATGTAAAATATAATTATAATTATACACACAAAAATGCCTGGTTATTTTTACCCAAACTGGGTAAAATATGGACTAAATTTGATTAAATGATTCCATAAATTAACCAGGAGTTGGTAGTGCCTATTAAACTGGAGAGAATTGGGTTGAAATAACCCAGCAGTTTTAAAATCCTAAATGTATATAGAATTATTTTAAGGTTAAATTTGGTTTATATATATTATAAATGTTAGAATATATACTTTTAAGGCGCTATTATTCTCCTAATAGTATTTTTATTCTAGCATATACAATGTATGTTGGGTCAGGAGAATCTGACATGAGAGATCCAGTTTTGTCATTAAGTGAGAGAAACTTACCCATAACTCTCCTGTGCTGTGAAGGCATATTCGTCGTTTAGTGTTCCACATGTTTCCCGTTCAGTGTTGGCGTCACAGGGAACGGGAGGCGGCTGAGTTTACAGTTTTATCCGCATTCTGAGCTCCGTTGAGCGGCTGCTTTCTCGCTCGCGTCTTCATGCGCGACTGAGGAGCTCCACTCATTCATCTGAGCGACACGCAAAAGACACGCCCTCTTGTATGTTAATGAGCTTAGGCGCGGCCAATCAGCGTTGACGCATAGTGGGAGGGAGGGGCTCTCTAGTCTAATTATTTAGTTTTGTTTTAATGGTTTTGTGCTGAAGGGTTTATTGTTTGCGGTTGAGAACACAATAGCTTGATTGTAGTGTAGTTGTGTTGATAGGGCTGATAATGTAGATGTAATCTGCTCATTAATTCGACTAAATTACTAAACATATTTAATAACTGTTAAAAGCCATTAGTCAAAGTTATTAGTAAGTTTACAGGTAAATATTAACCTTTAATTTTCTGATTTTGATTGTAATGCAATTATGTGCACCCTTCGAAAGCTGCTTTCAAACAATAGTTATTGTGAAGTGCTGTACAAATAAACTTGTTGAATATTAATAATTGAATTGAATATTAATATGTTATTTATTATTTAAATATGGATTAAACTAAGATACAATATTGATTAAAAGTAAATAATATATAGTAAATATTAATTAGTAATATTCATAGTACAGCTATAGAAACAATTTGACAATTCTCAATTCTCTTAATTTATTAGATATGTTTTTAGTAAAAGGTTAACCCATTTTATTCTATGAAAAATATATATTTTTTCTAAATTTCAGCTTAAATATTCTCATTTAGAGGTATTTTTTGACAATAAGTATAACTTAAAAGGTTTTTATTTATTTTGATTGTGTCATATTGTACTATGGTTAAAACAACATCTATAATACAGAATAGTTGTGCTTAAATACATAAAAATTATTTAATTAAAGTTTTATTTTGTGAACTACTGAGGTCATTACTTTTTAAATACTATAACAAATACACATGCTGTCATTTAAACAATAATAAGCTCAAATATTTATTTTTATACAACATAATATCAATGTTCTAACTTAAGAAGCATCAATAAAAGTTTTTTTATCAATATTGTATCTTAATGTTAACCATATTGAATTAATATTATACATAAATATTATGTGTTATTTTTTTACTCTGTATTATTTACTCTTCATCAATATTGTATTTTTATTTTATCCATGTTTAAATCACATTATACATAAATATTATTTGATATTATTCAATATTATTTACTCTCTATTATGTACTCTTTCAGCAATATTGTATTCTGATTTGATCCATATCTGAATAATATACACTAATATTGTTTGTAATTATTTAATTTAATTCTATATTAACTTTTTCATCAATGTTGTGTTTTAATTTTCTTATCTAAATAAAATTATACATAAATTTAATAATATTTGAGCTTATTATTGTTTAAATGACAGCATGTGTATTTGTTATAGTATTTAAAAAGTAATG